AGACAGGGTAGTGAAGGTGCTGCGGGGTAATCTGTTCTAAATAAATAGGGTGATTTCATATAAATAGCAATGTATTGATCAAACTCTGTGCACAGTACGAAGATTTTCTTTAAAACCTTTCAGAATCTTCTGCGTGGGGAATCACATTACAAGGAGTGTTTTCATGCAAAAAATATGCATGTCATTTATCAATCACACAGTGAATCAATCAGACACTAGATATGTAATGTTATCTCCCTGCATTAAAGCTGTAAGTGAAATGCCACAAACTTCTCAAAAGCAGTGTCAGGAGATAAGACTGGATTATATCAACTCAGATCAAATGCTGCACTCAAGCTCCAACCAATAGCTGAGATTAATACTGCACTGCCCGTAGCTCTGTGGTGGAGTTTATTAAAAGAAACTGGGTGAACAAAATAAGCAGAAATTTTTATGCAGCTGCCTGCTTTCCTGCTAGCACTACCTGCCGTGGGCAGCGGTGCTGGTCTCTCCCGACACTGCAGCTCTCTTGAGCTTCGGTGGAGTTTGTCAAGACTTAGTCTTGTGACACAGGAGGGCAGCATCAGGCTCAGGAAATCCAGAAAGGAAGGGCTGTACGCTCTTCCCGCTAAGAAGCTGTGCTGGCCTAAGGAGAAACCTTTCGTATGAAATAAAAGCAGGGTTCATTCTGTCCTCCCACCAATGAGGCTCCCCACTGGGTCAGGGGGTGCTGCAGTGATGTCAGGTAAGATGTCATGGGAGAGAAGTAAAGTTTGGCATATTGGGGCTTGGGGAGGGGGTAGTTTTCTTCCAACCTGCACACTTTCTTGTCCTTGACCCCAGGAGCAACACCATGCTCTCTGATGTAGATTTCCGTGGCCTTTAGATTTCAAGCTCAACACCACCAGTCAAGCTTTCAAATTTCTGGCACCCAAATGCGTCTGGTATCACACAAATGGAACAGGCCAACTCCATCCTGGGGAGATGGCAGGGTAACTCAAAACAAAGGAGATGAGGATAGAACTGGATTCCATCTCCCTTCACCTCTTTTCCTGCAGAAATATCTCCTACAGCCACAAGGACAACCTAGAGCAGCGTTAAGGAAAGCATGACACACGTGAAGAGTTTGTTCTGCTGCACAGTTCAGCCATGTCTCAGGGTGTCTCTCCTCCCCAAGGGCTATATAAGAACCGGTCCATAATGAGTCATTTTTCATTCCATTTGCTCTGTGTTTATTCTTGCTTCTCGCTTTCTGATCCAACTCTCATATTACAAAAATCAGAGGGTTACTTTTATTACCTCATTTGGACACTGATCTTACAAGTTGGATGAACCAACTCATACTTGTAATAAGAAAGATGAGACTATTTCTGGTTATATCCCCATTTTTTAGGGGGACAGCTATAAAAGCCTGCAGAACAGGAGTGGGGAAAGAAGAAACCACAGTTTTGTAGCCTCTTCTTCCATGGCTGAGTTTAAGTTTCTTTTAAGTTTCTTTAACTTGCCCTTCACAGCCACTGGAGGACAAACATGCATTTTACAAATCCTCACACATAACCAAGAAAGGCTCCTGGCTCCTGGTCCCCATTGCAGAGGTGTGAGGAAGAGATTGTTTTTCATTTGTCCCTAACCTACTCTGTTAAAGCAAAACTTCTCACCCAGCACTGATCTGCCCAGGTCCACAGTGCCTTCAGAGGTAGCTTTCCACATATTTGCTCTCACCCTTCGGCCTTGCAGTAATTTATAACAAGTCTACACACGCTCTACACGCCTCAAAGCCCTTACAGCAGGTGCCAGTGGCCTTACCTGCTTGAAGCTGACTGGCTACACTGAGATAGCTGATCTTACCCATTGCCATTCCCTGAGCTCATCATGGTCATGCTGGGCTGAAATTCAAGAGAGGAAAAGCAGCAAAGCTCCTCAACTTCAGCTGTCTCCAGAAGGAGCAGGACTGTGGCAGGAAAATCCGTCTTTGCTTATAGGAAGGATGAACTTCCACATCTGTCTTTGCAGAACAAGACAGCAAAAATCAGGGGGAGATCAGTCTCCAACATTGGCAAGGGATATGTGTGCCCATCCCATCACTCCTGCCTCCCTCTGAACCGCTTCAGGCTGTTGTGGTGAAATGAGACGTTACAAGAAGACAGTTTGGAATGCTGAGAGACAACTTCACATCCAGATCATCCAGCAAAATAGGGATCTTTCTCCAAAATCCAGAGCAGGAATGTGGACAACACTAAACAAATGCAAGCACCTTTTTAATGGAGGTAGCTATTATTGAATAACAACAACTGAGGTCATTACATTGCTACATAGATCAAACTGAACTCAAATTAACCTTGAAAAAAAGTGTGAATCAGCATATTTCTCTTGTGTACAGTACCGGCATTTGTGTAATGCTGCTTCACTCTCTATTTAATTGCTACAGTCAATTTTTGCACAGCACCCACAGCTTTTCAAAGTGGAAGCCAAAAGATTGATAATGACATTGCTGGGCTGTGCTGCAGAAGGCATCCTTGCAGAGACAGGCTCTTTAGTACTTCACAATAGAAAGAAATAACTCATTTTGCTCTGTAAAAGTAAACCATTTGATGAGCTTTGCTCCCAGCTTAGGTCTCTGTGGGAGCATAGGAAAGTCAGAAGGAAACCCATCACAGCAACAACACAAATTGCCTCAGTGCAACAATAAAACAGAGACAGGATGCACTGTGCCCAAGACCGAGAGCTGACAAGAATCAAGTTACCCAAAGCCCCACACTCAAAAAGGCAGAAGGTGTGGTCTTGGCTATGGCTGGGACTGAGGCAGTACCAAAATCCTTCAAGTGCCACCTCCAGGGTCTGGCTGGCTACATCCTGGCACTGAATTTTGCAGGCATCTGCCTCACTGTCCTCACATCGGAACGTCTGCAAGACTATGCAGTCTTCAGCCATCAACACTATGTTTGCTGATGATGACTCAGCTCCCTCCTGAACGCAGAGCAGGTTGCAGCCAGATGGCTGCCAACACAGGAAGCATTTCCTAAGGACAGCACGTCAGATTTGCCAGTCAGGAGACAAACGCCAGTTGTTGCACAACAAGTGTCCTAGGTTAGAGTAGAAGACAATGTGCTTCTGCCTTCACTACAGGTCCCATGCAGAAGGCAAGCAGGCAGCACTTCCCAAGTACCGTGGGCAGCTAGCAGTTGGTGTCAACACCAGAGAGCAGATTGCTTTCAGGTGATGGGAATATCACCCCATTTAAACCAGCTTCATATCTGTAAGACAAACCCATTGACCTGGGCGCAGTTTCACTCTTGGGCTAAGATTTCTTGAGGGGATTTGGGTAGGTAGGACCTCCTTCCTCCTCCATGAAGTCCTGCCAGGGCCTCAGCTGAAGTTGTCATTAGCCTCTCACGCTTTGTTACCTGACAAAAGTGCTGAGCAGCACAAGCCAGCAGAGTGTGGGCACTCTGATGTCAGAACAGTCTATCATTTTCCAGTGAGCCAGATAGAGAAAATCCTGGAAAGCAAAGGAAGGTACAGCTGGCTACAGGCTGAGCATGGGAGGGCTGATTTACGTCTCTCTGAGGCTGGTCTCATGTCTTTCTTGGATTTGGGACTGCACACGCAGAGGTCAGTCACCAACCCCCCTCTCCTCTCCAAACGCCTCCAGTTCCTCCCTGCCAAAGAACACCCACCTGCCAGGTCCCGCTGCTTGGAAAAACAATCCAGCTCATCTTTGTCCTTTGCACCACAACAGTTGTTTTAACTCGAACAATTCTTCTCCCTAGAATTTCATTCCCCCCACCTCTTCATTTTCATGCAGTGAAATGTAACTGTGAAGGCTTTGAGGAAGTTCCAGACAACATTGCTCACTCCATTTCAGCACAGACAATTCCCAGATTACCATAATATCATGCACTGGCCTCAAAACCACCACACATCCACCACCCCCCCTCCAGAAAGGTTTCTCCCCAAATTCTTTTATGTCATTGATAACCATCAGTTAATGAATAATAACAGCAGTACATGCCTTAAAGGGACCAAAGCACTATATCTAACAGCCAGGACTGGGCTGTCACAGGAGGGACCACAGATCAAAGGGGAATGACTGACTCAGCTGCTTTGTTGCTAGACTGGAACAATTTATCTGAATCCCAGTAGGTAGAAATTAGAACAATTTGCAGAAAAAAAAACCACAACATGAAGGTCTCCCCTTAACATTTGTCTCCACTAAACTATGCATGAAAGCCTCCCATCTTTCAGAACAGGGATAAAAAAGCAGGACTGGATAGCACTTGAAGAGCAGGCTAATGAACAACTGTTCTTAGAAAAATCTACATACTGTTACTCCTCTGTTATGCACTCTACGTTAGTAAGGTTTGTACAAGGCATTTTTAGCGAGAGAGACCAGAATCAGAGTCTGCTTTTCTCCTGAGCCAGGGGAATCACTGTTTTACATCCCCATGTTATCAACTAGCTGAAGGCAAGAGATTTTTTCATACAGCTCTGTCTGCCCTCTGTTTCTGAAGCAAAACCCGAGCCAACGTGATCCAGCTGAGAGCAATGAGCTATTTATTGTTTATTAGCAGCTGCACACATGTGACAGCAGTGACTGTGGCCCGAATATACCACCGCATGGCAGTCAGTGAGCCCATCATGAGAGCCAGGCAGCCGGAGGCAAAGTGGACACAGTGTGAGGGCAGGCTTGTACCAGGCAAACACAAGCGTGATAGCAACACATGGCATGTTATTTCTCAGGTCTGAGCATTATTTAGGAGGAGCTGAGCAGCTGGAGGGAAGAAGAGAGGCAGAGATGCAGCTGCATGGGAATTGGAAGGAGCTAGGCTAGAGGTGAGCAATGCCCATTTGCACAGCAGTGCTGCCCTCGGTTTCTGGGGCAGAACCACTGCCACAGCGTGTTCCTCGCTGTGGACAGAAGGACAGACACCTGATCTCTCCAGGGCTGCCAACTCAACATCTTTTTCACCAGCAACTCTTGGAAATTTTTGCCAAATGGAAGAATAAAGGCAGGTCCTTACCTTGGCCTCCAGTGTGTTTAGCCTCTCGGTCATATCTGCTAGTCTTGTGCAGTTCATGCATTCTAGAAAGAACACAACAAAATGATGTAAAATTTCTACATACTTTGCATTTTAATCCATGGCTTTCAGTCTGCAGACCCTGATCCCTTTTTGATCCAAGGCACACAAAAAAGTGATTCAAGATCAGTTATGGGGGGAAAATAAGTATTCAAATCCATTGCACAGATGAACAGCCACAACCATGTTACATGGACCTTGTTTGGGGATGTTTAGTGGGGTAGACTGTGAAGCCAAGTTCCCAATAGGTAGAAGGTAGACGAACAAAAAATTAGTTTTAAAACTTTTCATGGTGTCAACCAGCATGACCTGTTGTCACCAGCAGAGACGCTTGTTCTGCTACTGGTGCAAGTTGGTGTGGCACATGCTCCCACCTCACAGGACACCAGGGTGCACAACCACTACTCCATTTAGCTCTCTACTGTACCCTCTCCTATACTGTCCTCGTCAAATACCAAGGAAAGCAACAAATATACAAAATGCCCATCTCTGTAAAGTCCTGCTCCACCCCTGCACTCCCAGGCCCTGTTACCACTCCCACAACAAATCATCTGTCTCAGTGACAGCAAGAAAATCCAAGACAGACCCCAGGGCTGATGCAGACCGGAGCTGCAGCCCGAAGTCATTTCCATCTCACTGTGCTGCATAGAAGCAACAGATAGGCAGCAACCACCAAAGGGGTCTTGACAGGATGCCTTAGCAAGAACAAACATTAACATAATGGGCTCTGAGTGCAGTTTAAAATGATTGCTTGCTACAAAGGACACCACTTATCTAAACAGAAGGCCTGCTGCTTTTCCTCTGTTTTCATTTCAGCAGTTTTAAAGTGAGTGGAGGAGGATAAAGCCCTGAACAGAGATTTAATCAACAAGGCACTTTCCCAGCACTTTGCAGCAGTGTTGAACTGCCTGCTCCCAGCTCTCGGAGAAGCCTTCCAGACTGGACCACTCGCCTATCACGACTTCTGAAGTGCAACAGTTTTTAAAAAGGGAAAATTACTTGCAGCATGAAGTATTTCAGAGAAAAAAACCATCCATATTCAGATGATGAATCGCTGCCATCTCATGTCCCACAAAGGAGAAATACATCCCTGTGTGCATTTCTGGGCTCCTTAAGGGCAGAGCCAGCTTTCATTGACTGGCCATGGAAGAAGTATTTAATTCTGGTATTTCTATAGGGCTGGGGATGTTGACCTGTAAAATTCTTGAGCCCCTTAATAGACCATTCAGGTGCAGCTCAGGCTGAGGTTGTACTGATGCAGGGGATGTTGAGTAAACCCAGTGCCTACCTATGGCAAGGAATGAGCTAACATGGGGTTTGGCCTGACTAAACATCATCCCGACACCTAGGCCTCAGTTGTCATCCCCAACAAGCTTTGTCCCTTTTTTCACAAGGAGCCCCAAGGAATCTCTCCAATCTTCACCTGCAAACACTTTTCAGTTTTATGAAGCACATGGTATGTACTGACGGCTCTCAGCCATGCAAAGATTTTAGCACATGGCTTGGAGGGCCAGGAAGCCTGGCTGCTCCACATTAGTGATTTACAGTCTAAGAAGATTGCTTGAGTGCTAATGGCAACCAAGCACCCGTTGCATAAACCTTCCAAAGAAATTCTCTCCTTGACCCTCTATGAGGAGCTGCGTGGCTTCCCAAAGGAGCTAGACATAGAGCTTCCACCTCATGATACCCAACATTTTGCAGACAAAGCACCTGATGGTTCAGGAACACTTAGACTGAGGGATTTCCTCACAGGTTAATACTGGCATGGACTTTTTTTACCCAGTAGGAAATAACATTTGTTTATTTTTATTCTCCGCAATAGGTCTTGGGCAATATTTTTTGGCTTGAATTGGCCCATGAATACGCAAGTGCCATAAGCATTGTCCCACAGGGAAGGAAATGGGTGAGGCTTGTTTGGTCTAGATCTGCTTGTGGTGTGTAAAACAGGGAATTTCGGTCTGCATGTAACTGGCTTCGTGCTTCTGATCTTGCGCATCCCCCCAGAAAGATAAGACTGAATAAATCCAGCACTCCCAAGAGCCAAAAGGCGTACCAGATGTGTTACAGAGCAAATAAAATATGGAGTCCTATTCTCCCTTCTGCTGGCTTGCACATATTAAAAACTCCCCTAGGTTTAGAGAGACTGACTTGAACTGTCTGAAAACCATCTTTGTGCATAATTTGAGATGGATTGATCATTTAAGCTCTCTTTGGAGAGCTCAGCTCATAAAAAAGAGCTTGTAGTACCCCTCTGCACAGGGGTGAATCAACCAGCTCCCGGGGGGAGGATACTCTGATTGTCTCTGCCGGACAGAGTGTACAAACAGCACCAGTCCAGCAGCCCTCTCTGCTCTTGAAGAGTGTCTCAAAGAGCCCTCTCAGCTTCGTTTGCAGCACAAAAGGTTAGATTAAATGAACAAAATGACAGAAGAGGGGAGGAAGCAGACGTGCCACTGCATGGTGAGATTTGTACTAATATCTTCTTTATGTCAGTGATACCTGCTAAAACATATGGAAAACACAGCCCAGGTCAGAAAGAGAACTACTTAAGCTCAAGTTAAATTTGAACTCTGATCCTTTCCTTTGTGAAACACCTGGAAACCCAGATCAACACCCAAGGTACTTAGCCTGGACCCAAAAGACATTTAACTAATCCAGGAAGTGGACGTCCTAATGCAAAAGATCTTCTTACTAAGGCAAGCCGTCCTGCCAACAAATCCTTGTGACATTTAGTTAGCTAACCAACAGACGGATGATGCTTTCAAACACAGAGATGACTGCTCAGTACTGCAGTTACAGAAACTACATTCAAAGCTCGCTCACAAAACACTGGGGACCAGGCTGCTTCAAGGTCTGGGGTCGTTATCCGTCCTTGCAGAAAGCCTGAGAATGGTGGTGACAAATCAAGCTAATAAATGTCTTCCCTGACTACTATGCACTGAAGTATTTAGTGTCTAATCCTGATGGCTGGTGGTTCCAAGGCCTGGGACTGTGAAGTTGAATTTCCTGATCAGGGTGAAAGCAGTCTGATTTACTAAAATGAGCTTGAGAATCTCACATCATTTTTTCACATGTAACGAATATAACATTGGGGCAAATACACATACTCTCTGACCTGGAACTCCGGAGCAAATACTTTCTGTATCTGCAGAAATCCATCACTTGTTGCTACACAGAACGACAGTTTATTTCCCTCATATTCCTAGTTGGCAGATTTGTATTTTTCCACCTAAACTCTGAAAAAGGAGTTGTGATTTCACTCTATGAAGCCCAACCTCAAAACACATGGTAGGATTTGTTTTAGAAATATTCCAGCAGGGAGGATAGATAATTGAGATAATGAACATGAGACTGTACCAGCATATCGCATGACACCCAGTCTGTCTCCACAATGTCTCACTGTTACTGTCCTAGCACACTTCTCCCTTCCTGTCCTCCCATTCCCCCTCTGCAGATGCATTGGTAAAGCAATGCAACTGGAGGGAAAGAAAAGTCTAATGTATCAGAGATGTGGTACACTCCACATGCCCGAAAATAACAAGTCATGTACCCTGTGCCAGCAGTGACCCACTTAACCCTGATCCAAAGGTTGATACATTTGACCAATCTTTGATTAAAGGCTGAAGCCAGCGCCTCCAGCACTGCAGCTTTGCAAACAAGCATCAGGCTCTAAGCCTGCAGCTTCCACTCTGGATACACTCCTACAACAAGCAATTTACAGCGGTGAGTGACTGACTTCAGGTACCTTGCTAACTTGGCATTCCTGCTTTGCAGGGCTCGAGCAGCGTTTGCATAATTTCATGATTAAATAGCTGCATATTTCAGCTGCTCAAGACTGAAAGCCCCACAAGTCTTCAAACTCCTCACTCAAACTGAGATTAACAAGAAAGGCGTGATAACGGCTTTATATCAATGGGGCTCTAATGATTTCAGCACAATTATTGCAGTGGCACTGAGGGGAGTCAAAAAAAAAAACAAAAACAACAAGCCAACTTTCACCACAGGGCCGCAGGTCAGAGTTTTGCACAAAACAGCAAAGAAACCTCTTGGCATCTCAGCCCCATTTCTCAGTTCTGACAGCCCACGCTCATTTGTATACCCAGAGTCTCTGCAGAATATTAAAAGGGCTTTTGGTTTCCCTACAGCCAGATGCTCAGTAGATATAAATTGCACAGCTCAACTGAAGTCAAGGGATCAAGGCTTCGTCTCTCTTTTTCTTGATGGATTACTTTAAAATTCATATTTCAGAGGAGAGGTGGAGGAGGTGGTTTATAGCATATGAAAGGGGAGAGAATTCTGGAATCACATAGCCTTTGTTTAAACAAATAAAATCTTTGACAGCCAGTTTTTTCAGGACCATATTTTGCCATTACAAGAAACTTCAACCTTGCAATGCAATGGGGTGTAGCACACAGTCAGGCTTCAGGACATAAGAATTGCGTTTGCAGCTCATGCTTCAACCTGCTCGGGACTCTAAACAATGCACTCCTCTCCTCGGAGTCTCACTTTCCTTTCATCCTTTGTTAGTGTAATGTTTCTTCTGTAAAGGACCCAACGTCAGAGGATGAAAAAGGACCAAATGTTACATACACACAGAGAAATAAATTAGTATATTTGATTTCTGTGATACAACCTGCCTGGCAGCTCTTCTCTCTCCAACGAAGTCCACCACTTTCATTGCACTTTTCAGAAATGGACATGCATGAAGGGGACACACTCGGTTAATCTCCAGGTAGGGGGAGCAAACCAGAGCTGCAGCAAGGCTACGCCAACAGCCCATGTTTAGCGCGCTGGGAACCCAACAGCTTTAACTCTGCACCAGCAATGGCACAATCAGGACGACTCAGAGCAGGTCGCATGCACCACACTGTTATGGTTTGGGTTGCACTGTCTTACAAATCAGTAACACACAACTTGAGTGGGTCCAGTTTGAAGAAAATTTTGTCTTTCAAATGAAGCAGAAGACCAGCTTTTCTCAGTTAGTAGACACCTTTCTCCTGGCCAA